CGGACACACACACACACACACACACACACACACACACACAGAGTGGCCAGATTATTATGCGTTCAAAGATCAAAATAATCTGCCCACTCAGTGTTTATCTGCCTTTTTAGTATTTGCTATAATTCATTATTCAATTTGTCATTTTCCTCTTATTTTAAAGGCATCCTACCTAAAGAAGCATCAGTGCTTACAGTGAACTAGTGCCACGGAGGATTTTAAATCTTGTGATGAGAGTTAATTGCTGTTTTATCACTCTTCAAAGGAATGCACACATCAAACCGTCACCACCATCCTTCTGGACCCAGTGTCATTGCACCAGTACCTATGTGCTTCAGTCAGCAGCTTAATTATTGAAAACCTCATCTTTGACTTTTCTTTTAAATAGACAATAAACTTTGAAAATTTATATTTAAAAAAAATCTGATATTGCAGGCAGGAATTATGTTTTTAAATATATTGATTTCCTTAAATTGAGGATGAGGAATAGTAGTAACCAATGGCAATGAACAAATTACCTTAAATGAAAAACTATTATTTTTATTTGTTAAGTAGTGTTTCAGTGTAGAGACAACAGATTTTTAAAAATATATTTTTATTGATTTCAGAGAAGAAGGGAGAGGGAGAGAGAGAAAAACAGAACAAAACACATAAATGATGAGAGAGAATCATGATGCATCCTGCATGACCCCCAATGGGGATTGAGGCAGCAATCCAGGCATGCACTGTGACTGGGAAAAGAATCATGATCTCTTGGTTCATAGGTCAGTGTTCAAACAGTGAGCCATGCTGACAGGATACTCCTATTATTTTTAATAACTATAAAGAACACAAATTACATAAAAGTACTATTAATGCTGACATACAATGTTGGTCCCAAAAATATGAACAAATCATAGAGGAAAAGGCTGTATTCATATTTCTTCCACTGAGTGCAAGACGTGCTTTCTTTAAAAAAAAAAAAAAAATATATATATATATATATATATTGATTTCAGAGAGGAAGGGAGAAGGGAAAAGAGAAAGAAACGTCAATGATGAGAGAGAATCCAAATATGTATTCTTTATTCAGTATATGTCTTACCAGGACAGTGAGAGGTGAGAAACCTGTGGGATGAACCAGGCAGTAGGGTTTTATGTTTCATTTTGTTGTTTAAAGCCCAATGTTTATAGTGTTTTTTTTCCTATAAAATCAGGCTCAACTTGGCACAAGGCCTCATGCCATTTGTGGCTGCATCTGCACCACTACCTATAGCTCTGGTTTTGTTTGTAATACTTTAACCAGTTTTGAGGTACCTAATAATGGTTGCTGAAAAGGCTTTGAAATGCTTTTATTATTATTTTTTAAGTACATTTTCCATTAAGTGTTATAAGTTCTGCTGGGATGAAGCTTGGCAAGTGATCACTGGTGTAGGTGTGTATAAACTTAAATGAAATAACATATTTTTGCATAAAAAAGATCTGACCCCTTTAGTCCAGCCTCTGTTTTTATAGTTGTGGAGACTGAGGCCTAGAGAGGTGAGCAAACTTGCAAGGGTTGCAAGTCTAGCCAATGGTTCTTCATATGTAGTCTATGGGTCATGCAAGTCACAAAGACCATGTCAAGGGGATAGTGAGGGTAAAAAGGTTTTTTTTTTTTTTCTTTTTTTTTTTTTCCATAAACTTACTAAGATAAATTTGTGTTGTTTGCTGGGTTGTCATCTGTCAGTGATGCCCTGGTACTGATGGGTGAAATGCATGCCCTTAAGACATGTCATAGCAGTGGCATCGTATGTGTTTGCCCAGAACACACACAGGGTTTCTTTTAAAGATTAGTGGTGTTCTTCAGAAAAACTTTTATGTGATGGCTTGAGTTAAACTGAAGTAGCCATTTTTATTTGAAAGAAAGACAAAACAACAACAACTGTGGTTATTTAGCCATTGGTGTCTGGAAGATTTAGAAAACGAATGAAGTTACAAGGCAAACAACTGACAGCATTTGTTGTCACAAATAACCAGTAAGCTTTCAAGTGAAAATTAGATTTTGGAAAAATTACATCCTGCTGTGAACATGACAACTTCCCAATGCTTAGTGACTTTTCTGTTGAAAATGGTGGTGATGTTTGTTCACACACATAATTTTCTGATATGAAGAAATATATCAGCATTTGGAAAACTGGCATAACTCAATTACTAATATATTTCAAATAACAAATATTATAATTTTTTCATGGGTTTATGATCCATTCAAAGGATAACAGACAAATAGATTTTAATGTAACTAAGAATGAAAATTTTACATTTTCATTGCAACTAATCTTTGGGAAATTCATTTATTAAGTTTGGTGTGGTATCAAAAAAGAATATTCATAATTACCTAGAACAATGATTAAAATGCTGTTTATTTTCCAAAGGACTTGTATGCACACATATAAGAATAACCAACGAACACAGAACAGGGCAGTGAGAGCATGTGCTGGGAGTGGAGAGGGAGTGACTGGAGAGAGATCAGTGGGGGGAAAAGGAGACATATGTACCGTGTTTCCCCGAAAATAAGACATCCTCTGAAAATAAGATCCTAGCGCATGGAAAGATAAGACATACCCTGGAAATAAGACCTAGCGCAACTTTGGGAGAAAAAATTAATATAAGACACTGTCTTATTTTCAGGGAAACAGGGTAATATTATATGCAATACTTTAAAAAATAATGAATTTTAAAAAATGCTGTTTCTTCCAGTTAAATATTTTTGAAGTTTTAAAAAATATTTTGTCATATTGCAGCAGATTGAATGCAGAAGCAGAGATGAGAACCAGATGTCTTCGATTAAGCAATGTGTAAAACTCCCACTAATTTTGCTATTTTGTAAAATGGAATTTTCTTACAATTCTCTCCTTTATGTTATCATGTAATGGTTTTATTATTAACTTAAACATGTATTAATAAAATTTTTTTCATTTTTACTTCTAATATGGTAACTGTTCTTAGCTATATCCCACATAAACAAAAGTTTTTGAGGTCCTCAATAATTTTTATGGTGTGAATGGATCCTTAGATGAAAGTTTAAGATATCTGCTACAGGCTCTTTTTTTCTGGGACATTCTTGTTAGTTTATATATTAGTGACCTGGTGGATGAAATTTGTGCATTGGGGTGTGAGTCCCTCAGCCCAGCCTACATCCTTTCCAATCTGGATCCCTTGGGGGGTGTCCGATTGCTGGTTTAGGCCCAATCCCAGGCCTGAACTGGTAGTCAGACATCCCTCTCGCAATCTGGGACTGCTGGCTCCTAACTGCTCACTTGCCTGCCTGCCTGATAGCTCCTAAACACTCTGCCTGCTGGCCTTCTCACCCCCAACTTACCTCCCTGCTGGCCTGATCGCCTCAACTGTCTCCCACTGCCAGCCTGCTCACCCCCAACTACCCTTCCTGCTGGACTGATTACCCCCAACTGCTCACCCCCAACTGCTCTTCCTCCCCTGCAAACCCAGTCACCCTCAACCGCCTTCCCCTGCCGGCCTGGTCATCCCCAACTGCCCTCCTCTACTGGCCTGATTGTCCACAACTGCCCTCCTCTACCGGCTATCTTGTGCGAGGGCATGATGGTCAATTTGCATATCACATCTTTATTATATAGGATAACCTTTAGTGCCTGTAATTAGTTTGTCTTTAACATGCTCAAGTATCTATGAATTTGTATCAATTACCAAAGCATTAGTGTTCTAAAAATGTTTCTCATAGTGTAAATGATGAGTTTAAAATACCACTAAATCTGTTTTCTTAGAGACCTTTTAATAAATATTTAACCTGCATCCTGGCTTTTGAAAACAGATTTAGCATATATCAAGCTAATTTTTTTTGCCTTATTTTTAAGTGCTTTTGCTTGGTTGATGAGTAGGGCTTTTGGGTCTGATTGTCAGTATTATAGACTTACATACTTTCATTTTCCTCATTTTTTCTCTACATAGCAGTGATTATATCTGCCAAAATGTTCTTAATGCTACTGGTAACCTATGTTAACCTGGGTGTCTTAATTGATTTTGTTACAGCATTTGCAAACTCCTCTCTTATACAAATACAGTTATTAAAATGTCATTTTGTATGTGTATATGCCAGATACTACTTCCTTATTAGCATATACTTTTAATATTTTTAATGTTAAGGACACAAAATATGATTAACTTTCTGATAATAATTTGTTGAACAAAATAAATATTTATTGAACAGAATTTCTTTAATAGTCTAGATAAACACTGTTTAGATTTATATTTTTAATCCAGTAGATATGATTTAAATTTACATGAAATTTGTTCTGTGGCTTATATTTATTAGTTATACTTTATTTTTAGAATATATATTTTATTTAGAAATATTAGGATAATAATGACAATAATGGTCATTATTACTCTCTGCCAAGTATACACTTTGTATCTGGCCCTGTGGTTTTTTTTTTTTTAAGTATATTGATTTTTTTACAGAGAGGAAGAGAGAGGGATAGAGAGTTAGAAACATCGATGAGAGAGAATCATCAGTCAGCTGCCTCTTGCACATCCCCCATTGGGGATGTGCCCGCAACCAAGATGTACTTGCCCTTGACCGGAATAGAACCCGGGACCTTTCAGTCCGCAGGCCGACGCTCTATCCACTGAGCCATACCAGTTTCCGCGTTTCTGGCCCTGTTTTAAGCATTTTATATCATTTAGTTCTCACAGAAAGAAATACTGCTGTTTTTGTATTTTGCCTATGAATGCACTAGAGACAGAGGCTGGATAAGCAACTTGCCCAGTACCATATGAGTGGCGAAACACAAATTCAAGCCCAATTTTACTTCAGAACAGGTCTTTCCTCTTACCACATTTCTTTTTCAATAAATTGTTTAAAGGAACTAATGGAATTTTTGTCTAGAATACTAATCCATCTTAAATTGTTATTTTGCTCTTTAATCTTTGGAATTTAACTACTTTTAACATGTAGTTTTCTGTCTTGAGTTACCCTTTTTAAGAAAAATGCTGTTTTGTATTTGTAGATATGCCTCTTCATGTCCGACGAAGCAGTGACCCAGCTTTAACTGGCCTCTCAGCTTCTGTCAGTGATAGTAATTTTTCCTCTGAAGAGCCTTCACGAAAAAACCCCACACGCTGGTCAACAACTGCTGGCTTCCTTAAGCCAAACACTGCTGGTAGCCCTAAAACCTGTGACAGGAAGGTAACTGCTTCTATTTTGTCTTCTTAGTTTCTTCACGATAGTCTGTGTATGTGCTTAATGAGCTTTCACCTCTAAGTTCAGATAGCTTCCTATTTTATATTGCCCTTGCATTTTATGATAACATTTGTGCTATATATGATGTACATTTATTTATCCAATTTTGAATAGATATTATATTCACAGGATTAAAATGAAAACTTTCTGATATGAAGTATGAAGTATGTGCAAGTAAAGTCCCTACCTTGTTTCCTGTCTCACCTCTGTTTTCTTTATGGGCAATGCCCTTGTTAGCTTTTTGCATGTTTTACAGGTACATTTTACACATGTATAAACAGATACTCATATTGAGACACAAGATACATTAAAGAAATTATAGCATTATTGATTTTGAAGGATGAAAATGTTCTCTATGGTCATTTATTCTAACTACACAATTGATAACTTTATTTTCTTCCAAAATGGAAGTATTCTTTAGTCCAGTGGTTGCCAACCTTTCAAACCTCATGGATGACTAGTGGTCTGCAGAACAACAGTTTGAGAAGACTGCTAGTCTACAAAATGAAAATTTTATTTTCGACCTAATTTATTTTAGTCCTGACCTAATTTTTTAGTCTGTTTTGTTTATTTTTTTTTCTAATTTGTTTGTTAATGTTCTTTGCCATATATTTCTACAGAATGCTTATCATCTTATTCTGTTACACTTATAACCCTTTACCTAATGAGCTTTAACCTGTTAGTCATTTTCCATATTGTACCTATTGAATAATGTTCAGTAAAAATCTACTGAGTGAATTAATAAACTTTTCAATAGTAGCAGGTTATGTATTGTATGTGTATGTGTGTGTGTGTGTGTGTGTGTGTGTGTGTGTGTGTGTATTGAGAAATGTGGAACTATACTAATTACATGTTAATATAAAAATGAATGTGGCTTGAAGTTTTCTTTATTTGTTGCATCTATATGAAAACACCCATTTAAAATTTTTTCTTTTAATTTGGTTTTGCATTTCTACAAACTTTATACTAGTTCAAGTAAGAAAACAATTTTGTAATACATGACTATAAACTGCAAAGCATCTACCAAGAAAAAACAGTTTACTGAAGTCTCTGATTTTTTTGGATTATGGTTTTAACTGTAAGGCCCATTCTTCTGAAACAGTTTATTATATATTTGATGAGGAATTTGGAGTATTTCAAATACAACTGGTCTCATTTGGAGTATTAGCTTGAAATTTTAGAATGCTTTATTATGTAGTAGAAACATGCAGAATCCAGTTTATAAATAGACCTCATGATATTTAACTTGTGTTCAGAATAAATCTAATTTCTATGGATATTCATAAATGTATAAAGTCGAAGAGGTGAAGTGATTGAGGTGGGGGTGGGGAGCAGAAAAGAAAGAGAAAGCACTCATGGACACAAACAACAGTGTAGTGGTTGAGGAGGTGGAAGAGGGCCTAGGGGGAATAAATAGTGGTGGGGAAAAAATTCATTATTTTTAAAATAGGGTTTTAAAAATTATTATTATCATTATTTTATTGATTTTAGAGTAGAAGGGGGTGGGGGGAGAGGTAGAAACGTCAATGATGAAAGAGAATCTCTGATTAGCTTCCTCCTGCATTCTCCCTACTGGGGATCAAGCCTGCAACCCAGGCATATGACCTTGACAGGAATCAAACCAGGGACCCTTCAGTCCACAGGTCAATGATCTGTTTACTGAGCCAAACCAGCTAGGGATAAATATAATAGGTTTTAAAATAGTTGAAGTGTAATGGGTCAGAAGTTGTTGAGTGTAATCATTTTTTCCTTCATAACTCATTTAATATCTTGGGTGTGTGGTTCAGTTTCAGTTGTAGCAAAGAGAAGCACAGTAGCCATGGACTCAGACAATAGAACTCAGGCTGGGTGCCAGGGATAACTATAATAGGTCAATGGGGAGGAAAAGGGGACATATGTAAAACTTTTAATAAAGATTAAAAAAAAATATTGATGACAAAAATTTGTGTTTATTTGGTTTTCTCTTCTTTAGGTAATAAAGTTTTGAAAATACATTTAACTTAAAAACTGTTGAATTTTTTCTTTTTTTTAAATTCTCACCCGAGGATATTTTTCCATTGATTTTTAGAGAGTGGAAGAGAGAGGGAAAACAGAGAGAAATATTGATGTGAGAGAAACACATGGATTGTTTGCCTTCTGCATGTGCCCAGACTAAAGCCCAGGCTTGGGAGGAGCCTACTAATGAGGTACATGCCCTTGACTGGACTCCAACCCGGGACCTTTCGGTCCACAGGTTGACACTCTATCCACCTAACCATACTGGTTAGGAATGTCCACTTTTTAAAAATACTTGACTCTAGTTTGATTATTGAATAGCATAGGTAATCTTACATATTCATAGTTAAGACTACCATATTTAAAAAATCATTTACACCAAAATAACTGTTTCCAGATTGAAAATAGAATATACTATGTACATTTCAATCAGAAACAGTTAATTTCCAAGCATATATTGTGAAATAGAAAATGTTTGGAAAGTTAAGATGTGAGTGATGCACTCACATTGTACAGACAGTATCATGACTTTACCAATATAGGACTATAATATATTCTCTGTATGTATGTGATCCAAACTTCAGACAGAATTGTCAGCAAGATCATGGCTGGCTAGTAATACCTGCATGGTGTTATCAACAAAGTAATATATGTGTTGCATAGTGATTAATAATATATTTTATAAATTCTTTATTTGCCTAAAAATGACTGAAGACTATTGCAATTTCCCCCCCACACATCACAAATAAATTAATATATGAATTCATTATTGACTTTACCATCACAAGGAAAATTAGGAAAACATTTTTGTTATCATGGCTTAATGTCAGTTTTATTTTTTTACCAAGTAACTTCTCTGAGTTGATTCTAAAAATATAAAACTGTGAATGTTTCATGTGGACTTCAGCATTTATCTGATTACTCTGTAGTTGTCTGCTGCATGAATTACATGTCATAGTTAATGTAACTGGAGATATTCCACACTGCTTTTAAGATGCAATTGGAAATAATTGCATTTTCCACAGACATTGAATACTGGAGGTATGACATTCATTTAAAATAGGTACATAACAATGGTTTACATATTTTAGGGTAAATCTGAAAATTCTTTTACTACATTTTCACTGAAGTTTATGTCTTTTAAGGCATTTCATTATCAATTTTTTAAAGAACTTATATAGAAGTATTCTTTCAAAGTGTTAGTATTATGAAACCATCTGAAATAAGAAAACATTGTATTTAAGGACAGCCATCTGAGTTAGTGTAGGCCACTGAGCTAAGTGGTTGAGTGGAAAGATGCATGGTGATATTTTATCTAGGTTTCACTCTAATAGTGGAAATAGTAACTTAAAAAATTAAATATAACTTAGAACTATAATTAGAAGTAAAATTAGAATATAGTGTTATAAGAAACATGACATTACCAGTTCTATTGATAATCATGGAGTGCTTCTTAGAAAAGGTAGACTTTATACTAGGGGTTGATAAGTGTTTGTTTTTTTACAGAATAAATGTTCTTGAGAGTCTAGGTTAAGAAAGTTGATTGAAGGTCAAGCACAGTTGCTTGAGGTTCCTCTGGTAACTTACAGTGCTTGTCTTAGGTGTGATTTGACCTAGCATACCTTATCTCTGTGGGACAGTGCATGGTACATTGTAAGAGAGCATAAGGCTTAGCCAGTGTCCAGCTCAAAGGCTATAGTAATTTCAGATAGGAGAGAAGTTGATCCTGAATGGGTGATGGGCTAAATGTAAAATCTTGGCAAAGAACAGCAGATTACCAAGATTTAACAATTGTAAGGATTAGAGAGGAAGGAAATTGTTGAAGAGGATTATGAATATTTTTCATTGATGAGTTTCATTTTTAATCTGTTGATTTTGATGTATCTTTGGGACATCCTATTGGAAATTTAGATCATGAATTCAGAAAAACCTTTAGAGTTGGTGACTTTGCCTGGAAGTTGTTAGGGAGGAGGTGTTGATATTGTACACTTTTGTCTGGGGAGACAGTAGTAAGCTATTTATTGTAAGAGTCAATAAGTCTTTTAAAGGAAGAGCAAGAATGACAGAGAATCAAAAGGAATCTAATGGAAGTACTAGTAGCATACTGTGTTCTCGACACCAAGAATAGGAAGCAGTTTGTGGCATCTAGTCTCTTTATTTTAAATATATATATTTCTCTTTGTAAGTGGTATTTTGTCACCATGCACACATCCAGGTCAGTGTTCACTTTTTACCTAACAGTTTTTGCATCCATTGATTATCTTTGAATGAATTATTTCATTAGGAGTTAAAAATTGTGATTTTTGTAATTTTATTATTTTACTTTCACTAATGGGCATTTTTCTGACAAGACAAGCTTTTTTCCTTCTTCCACTGACATTTTTGGCTTCTCTAAAATACGGTTTCTATTCAAAGTAAGAATATTTTTAAATACTTTTTCTTTAATACATTTTTTCTCCTTAGTGGGTATTAGCCCAAAACTCCTTGACATAAAAATTCTACTTGTGTTTCTCTATACTTCCAACTCCTCTTGTCTTCCTGGACATTTAAGGTGCTGTCATTAGTAACTTTATATGCTCTTTATGACTTATTTGACTTTCTCATCAATATGGACTATCCTGTGAAACTGATAGTTTTGTTTTGAAGTTAACATGTTAAAATTTTAAGGAGAGGTTTTTAGTATTTAGGAATACATGGGCTTTAGTATTTTTATTTGCTTCATTCTTTTTTTGGCCTTTGTCTCTGCCCTCTGTTTCTTTACCCTTTCTATGTTCTTACAGGCAAGGCCAGTCCCCAGTCTCTGGGCCTGGAGCAGCATCTAACTCCTACCAGCATTCTTTTGCACTCAGGATTATGCTCTGTCACAGCTTTTTTGAGCTGCTCTGACCAGAAATGTACCAAGATTTTCTAGTAAAAAGTACTTGCTGCTAATGTTTAATGCTGCTATTACTTTTTAAAAAGTTCGTTTTCTGGCCCCAGCCCGCTTTGTTTAATGGTAGAGCATTGGCCTGTGGACCGAAGGGTCCTGGGTTCGATTCTGGTCAAGAGCACGCATTTAGGTTGCAGGCTTGATCCCTGGTCCTGGTCAGGGTACCTGTGGGAGGCAACCAATCAATGTGTTTCTCTCATGTGTATGTTTCTCTCTCTCCATCCTTCCCTTCCTCCCTCCCTCTCTTTAAAAATCAGTGGAAAAATATCTTTGGGGATTAACAACAACAAAAAAGTTTATTTTCTATAGGTTAATTCAAAAAACTTTAAAAATGTCATGCTAAAGTTCACATTGATTAATATGTATAGATTAAAAGTATTTTTTTTTTCATTTCTCAGTATTGGCATAGATCCAAGACTTATAAATTAATTTTTAAGTTTTATTAAGGGACTTATGAAGGAACAAAAACAATATCCTAAACTATTGCTAAGATCTATACAATGCAAACCTTTTTTATCTCACTTTTTTCTATGTTTATATTCACGGTTCATGATTTAAATAATGAAGAATAAGAATCAGTCATGTATGTAAGATGTATAGATACATTTAAAAAATATATTTTGATTTTTTTACAGAGAGGAAGAGAGAGGGATAGAGAGTTAGAAACATCCATGAGAGAGAATCATCAATCAGCTGCCTCTTGCACAGCCCCTACTGGGGATGTGCCCGCAACCAAGGCACATGCCCTTGACCGGAATCGAACCTGGGACCTTTCAGTCCGCAGGCCGACGCTCGATCCATTGAGCCAAACCGGTTTCAGCTATAGATACATCTTAACAAAGTTGTTTAGTACTTCTCTTGAAGTGAAGTATTGATGTAAGTGAGATGAAGGTAGGTTAACATTTCTAATTTGTTAATGTAGGAGATATATAGATTTAGTTATTGAACTAAAATGTTTGTATTTCCTACCTTACATTAGTCTTCTTATTATATTTTTAGAGCATTAAAATTAAGTTTTATAGCCCGATAGCCAAAACAAATTATTTAAGCTATGGTTTAAAGCAACCATCTAATAGCCTGTGGTTGCTCTTGACATTTTAACACTTTCATGCTGACATATCAACATGAGGGAAAGCTTCTCTCAGGCAACAAATAAAGTAGAAAAATGCCAGTCACTTAACCTAAGGTTGTTAATATCTCAGGAAATTGTGCTGTGAATATTTTTCCTGTTATTGTTTTGTTTGTTTTTTTCTTTTTTGCTTGTGAAATAGATGATAAGCACAATTTTAAAACATAAAGAGGCCATCAAGTGTGTTGATGTTGCTAAGGGTGGGAATAGAAGAGGTAGAAAAACTGTTGATTTAGATAAAGGAAAAACAGTTAGCCAATGACAGCATTTTGCAGGCAGTGATATAAAAAAAAGGGAAGATGTTGTGCTTTTGGAAGGAGCACTAATGGTGACTTGTTTAATACTACTAGGGAGTGATTTGATATATTGAAGAAAAGAAGTGTTTGTTTATAGTTCAAACTGTGCGTTAGACATGTACTGTATATAACAAAAGTTAAAATAGGGAACAGATCAATTCAATTTACATTATTTTTAATGAGGAAACAATGATTTTGTGTGTGTGTGTGTGTGTGTGTGTGTGTGTGTGTTTAACAGACTGCTTCTCGAACAGCCTTTCAGAACAAATTAAGTTTGAGAATTGAGGTCCCACTGTATTTATTAACTGACTAGTTTTTGTGTGTTTTCTTTTTTCTTTTTTGGAAATCAAATGTTTAATACTATAAGAAATATGGTGAGCCCCCCAATTCAGGGGTCCTGGTAGAACACAAAACATAATTGGGAGCCAGGCAATAAGGCAAACATCTTCACTTGTATGTAGAAGGGCGGACACACATGGCCTGGGGTCTGCTCAGCTTTATAATTCCTCATGTGCACAACCTGTCCTTTGCTCTTGATTGGAGCTCAGGTGCACAGTCTTTCGCGATTGGCTAATTCAAAGGGAGAGGTTGGCCTTTGCTGTTTCAAGATGGCGGTCCCCATGGTGCTACAAGCCATGCAGTCAACATGGCAGCTTCCAAGTCATGCCGTCCAAAATGGTGGCTGTCTAAACTGTTCTTTGATAGAAAGATGATTTGTTTATTCTCACAATACTGTTCCCTTACACAATCAATTTTTCAGGTTGTATCACATTTGGTCAGGTTTTATGGATACAGAGGATGAATATCATAAATCAAATTGAAACTGACAGTCTTGCATTGTCACAGAAGAGTATTCAAGATTCAAGTTATCACTCTAGCAGTAGAAACAACTTTGGTCTCTAACAGCTTAAAGATATCACTGTCATATCCCTGTGGACAATTACGCTCTATTGGAGGCCCAGTGCATGAATCCTTGAATGGTGGGGTCTCTTGGGGTGGCCTGTGGAGTTCGGGCCCCAGCTCGTACCCCCAGCCTTGTACCCCCTGCCTGGCACCCTTCCTTGACCTAGTGCCGCCCTCTCACCTGCTCCACATTCCTGCCTGCAGGGTGATCGATTGGGGCTGCTCTTCCTCCCGTCCTTCCACCAGGCTAAGTGACTGGGATCCGGGTGGTGGTCTGTGTCCCCTCCCACGCGCGCCCACACACACACACATGGTCACAGTCTGCAGGGTGACCAGAAGGATGACTGGGCCCCTGTTCGCACCCATCTTGGCCTGACACCATATGCTCACCTGCTCCACCATCCCACCATGGTCCCACTGTCATCAGGGCCCAATGGGCCTGGCAGCACCTCCACTGCTGCCAGCTGCCAGCACCATGTCACCAACGCCTGTTATGTTCTGCTCCGTCCCCTGGTGGTCAGCACACATCATAGCAAGCATTCCAACTCCCCATTGAATGACTATCAGAGAGGACAATTTGCATATTAGGCTTTTATTATATAAGATTATGTACCATGCATTGTGATAGACTAATTTGTTTCTTTACTTGATATCTGAAATAATGCTTACAAATAGCTTGTGAACATTACAAGCTCAGAACAGCCAAAGGGTCTTACATTTCTTGCTCAAAGTCATAAAACTATAAAGATCTAAATAAAGAGCCAAATTCATTAGTCTTTCTTATTTTACTAGTAAACTTTTTTGGTAAATTATAGAAAATATCTCAAAATATTATGAGATTGGAAAGAAGAAGAGAATAAAAACAGTAAAAGTTTTATATAGAAAGGTTTTTTTTGTTTTGTTTTGTTTTTGTACATATACTTGGCTTGGGGAGGTTGATTTGGGAGCAAGTGCAAACCAGGTGAATCATTAATTTGCAGAATCTGTTTTTTACAGCACAACTTTTTGTTTCTTTTTGAATAGAAAGATGAAAATTACAGAAGCCTTCCACGAGATACAAGTCACTGGTCTAACCAATTTCAGCGAGATAATGCTCGCTCATCTCTGAGTGCTAGTCACCCCATGGTGGACAAATGGCTGGAGAAGCAAGAACAGGTAACATAAGGAATCCTTTTCTACATTTTTGATATAATATTCTAACCCATATACCAAGATATATTTTCTTCCATTTCAATGAGGATTAAAGATAATTTATTTGAACAGAATTTGGTTAAGTAACGGGGCTGTATGTTATAGTTTGACTAACATTAATATAAAATGACTCTGTGGTGGTTCCTGAGCACAGGTTTCTCATAAGGAGTTATCAACATTTGTGATACTGATAGTTTTAATTAAGACTATGTTTTATAGGATAAACCTAAAATATTTTTTGAATGTAGGATGTTCTAATATGAAACTATTAAAAAGAACAGTTTGAATGTGATACCACTTATGGTAAAGGACATGCATTGATTTTTATCCTAAGTAAATATTAACATACTAAAACATTGTGTGATTGAAATAATTTTGGATAATTAGAAAATCATGCAAGTTCTATTTAGGTAAAACATAGTTTTCTCAAAATAATACAGATTTTAAACTAATTGATATTATTATTTCATTATCACTTAAATGAAAATGTTTTTAAGACTCAGATTATTTAGCATGGGCCTGGAGTCAGACCTACTGATTATTAGCTTTTTACTATATATGAGATTTAACATGAGGTTCTGGCATAATGTTAAATTAGTTTACTCATTTATCAAATGGGGATAATCATAGAACCTTCCTCAGATGGTTGCTGTAATGTAATACCTGTCAAGAAGCTGGAATCATGCCTGGTTAAAATTGTCTGCTGAAAACAGAAAATCTAGATTGTATAATAAGGAAACATTCATTACTCATTGATAAGAAGCCTGAAGGAAAGGAAGGGGGAGGCAGAGGTGGTAGTGGAGAGTGAGGATGTTCATTTGCACCTCAGTGACCTCACTGTGAATCTGAATTCTCCATCTCTTCCAGGAGCCTTCACAGGGCTCCTTGCTGTGCTTGCAAGCTTGTTCTTTCCTGCCAAAGACCCAACCATCATATCCGGGCACAGAGGAAAAGGAATAGTGCTTTTTATGATGTGGGGACTTGCATTACTTGCCTGTTGAGTTCTAAATCAAAGGGAGTAAGAGTACCTTGGTTTAGAGTTTGGCTGGTTGAGCTTGTCTGAGGTATAGTCAATTCTCTTCCCTGAAGTATAGCTGCTCATAACTGGGTTCTGTTAAGCAAGGAGGGAAGGTACAGTTAGCTAAGTATGTAAATATGACCATTTTTATTACAAGATTAGGAGAAAAAAATGTCATCCCAGAGTTTTAAAAATATTATACATTTAATTATATTCTAAAAGCATAACTTTATCTTACTACTGCATTTGTAGATTTCTCTTAAGGAAGTAATATTATTTGTCTTTGTAAATCCTATATAATAAAGGAGTAATATGCAAATTGACCACCACACCCTCATTTATTTGGCGGTACCCACAGTGGGGGGGTGGGGCAGCCGGGAGCAGGCTCCATAGGCCACCTTCACCAACAACTGCTGACTCCCCAGCCCATCGCCGGCTGCCTCCCCACTTGCCTGGCCCAGCTGTCTGTCTGCAGACTGCGGGGTCCTAGGCAGGTGGGGTCCGGCGTCCTCTGACTGCAGGGTCCTAGGCAGGCGGGGTCCTGCGTCCTCAGACTGCAGGGTCCTAGGCAGGCGGGGTCTGGCGTCCTCAAACTGCGGGGTCCTAAGCAGGCGGGGTTCGGCGTAGTCCACGCTGAGGTGGGTGAGGCGGGTGCGTGGGCTAGGGCAGTCCCTGTGGTGCAGGTACAGACTGAGACTTCAGGTGACTCTCCTGTGGCTTCCAGGTGTCACTGGCTGCGCTTGGGGTGGGGAGGGCTGGGGTGAGGTGTGGTGGGGTGGGGGCAAAGCCTACTGCAGGCAGCAAGGTTTAGTGTGGGAGACAGGGAGGGGCGTGGCCCTTGGAGGCTGTAGACCTGGAAGTCCCTGCAGGGCAGGGTACCACCTGAGGTGTGGGGCGGATCTGGAAAGGTAGAGACAGCGCCCTGGAGCCCAGCACTGGACTGCTTGGAGCCAGTTAGACACTTGTTGTGGAATTTCACGGTCACCCTGCACTTCTCTTAATATTTTCAAAACTAGCGCAATAAACACAAATGGGAGTCCTGTATGATAGGGAGTAGACCTTAGGAGTGGTGGCCAGAGGAAGCCTGAGGCCCAGGGGGTCATAGAAGCAGGTCCCCAAAGACTGACCTCCCACCTGTTGGGAGGACAGGCTGAGGTGATAAAGTCCTCAGACAGGAACAGTAGGGAGCAGGCTGCAAGTATGTCTCACAAATCCCAGTTGCTTTGTGGTAATTGCCATGCCTGGAGTATTGTGTAAACCCTGGAGAGAAATGTATAGGTCATTTCAGCTTTTATCTCTTAAAAACGGGATTTTTAAACTGCAGCTCTGAATGTAAGGCCCTGTATTTCTTTGAAGGGATGTGACCTAACATGGCAGTCATGTCAGGATTAATGATATATCACATAAATTGATACCATGTGGTTACAAAACAGGACTTGCCTAAGTCAACAGGTAAATTCCTATTTTAAATGCCCCATATGAAAATAAAAACAGAGGAACTGTTGCCTTTTTGGAAAGATGTCCATATCCTTTTAGAAAATGAATTAAGAAATAGCTTTGCTTTAATTGCCATGATTCTCTTTTGATAATATTCTGACTTTTCTGGGAGGGGTCTAGAGTTACAGTTTTGGTCACATTTTTAGATCAATGCGATTCTTCCCTCCCTTTTCTCCCAGCCATATATTTCTGTTGTAACTATGAGATTGATCTAATTTTGCATTCTTATTTATGCTAATATTCCTTTATAGGCAACTTTGGGGGAGGGCACAAAAGTCTTCTTTGAAGGGCTTTGGATAGTTACTGAAGGGTGTCAGAAGCAGTGTTGATTGATCTATTTGGTTTGACATTGAACTCTCAGAAAAACTGTTAGACATTACTGAAGACATTGAATGCTTATAGGTCCCGCCAAGCTGCTAAGGCCAAGTTCCTTTGCATAATGTATTGAGCCGGCAGTTGGAAATCCAACGAGGGATTGGAGAGAGTGCAGGCTGAACTGAGGGAGCTCTGATCTCCCACTGTGCATGAATTTCATGCACCAGCCCTCTAGTTTGATATAAAATAGTTTTATTTATTTTTTAAAATATATTTTATTGATATTTTACAGAGAGGAAGGAAGAGGAATAGAGAGCTAGAAACATTGATGAGAGAGAGACATTGATCAGCTGCCTCCTGCACACCCCCTACAGGGGATGTGCCCGCAACCAATGTATATGTCCTTGACCGGGAATCGAATCTGGGACCCTGCAGTCTGCAGGCCGACGCTCTATCCACTGAGCCAAACCGGTTTTGGCTAAAATAATTTATTTTTTAAGCAAAAGGGATTGCATGTAAAAGCCACATATTTCCCCCCCCCCCCCCAAATTGTCTTGATTTGTTTCTCTTGAAATTATTTGAAGTATTAGTTACATAATCGAGCTTTGTAGAAAATAAGTACTTCCTTTGTCTATGTGGTCTAATATAGATGACATTAGCTATGATTCCTGAGCTTAAAACATCCTTTTCCTTGGCCTAAGCTTAAAAAATGATGTAAACACTAAATTTATGTAAACAGGATAATTAACTAGACTGAAATCTATTTAACTGGACAATAACAGCAAAAACTAAACCTATATTAAAACTTAGACTGAAAGCAAGCACAGTTGTTTGTGCAGAAGAGGACTAATAGGTTATGCTGCATGCACTGGAAATGTCTTCCAGCTATTCTCATTTAATTGTGAATTTATTCTTGTAACTGTTCCCTATTAGTCACCTAACTTTAATGACCTGATGGCACTTCTGTGGCTTTTTTCTAATTAGGTTTTGCCATTAAAAATATAGTAAAGAGAATGGTATCACATAGATAAAAGAATGCTACATATGGTAAAAGAACAACAACCACAAACAACCCTCTGCCTGTACAATTGGGATTACAGGGTAGAAATGATGGCTGGCTGCCTTATGTCATCTGGACTAAAGAGGTTTATAGAGTTCTAGATTTTATATGTCTCCAATGTTTTTGTCATTGCTCTATTTCCTACTTGAGTGCTTGTCTCTTGTTATCTGTTTTGTTTGAAAACAGTTATGAGCACATCAGCTTTGGCAGTGGGAATAAACAGTAGAAATTGAAAAAGACAAAAGAGTGCATAGAATGCTGAACTGGCAGGCACCTCTGGAAGCTGAATGTGTCTTTCTCCTTCTTGTGGAATTGGTCCTGCATAAGGAAATATTGAATCTTCTTTCCTCTGTTAGAATATTAGTGAGTTAAGCCTCTGTAACAAAAGATTAGTGATATGCTGTATATTATGGGAAATCTGTACCAGAAAGCACTTGGTATCAAGCTCAACATTTTTTCCAAAAATAGTTTTCTTGCTTTTTAGTGAGTAGTTCACTTTGCTCAGAATTGCCTAGAGCTGAATCCTATATCAGGTTCATTTCAGAAAGTAAAGGATTGTGTATCTTTCAAAGAACATTCTTTCCTTATGTTAACCTGTGACTTCCTTTTTCTGAGAGATCTCAGAGGAAGCACAAAGGATTTGAAGAATAAATGGGTGATGGTTGTATTGCCTTAAGAAAGTGTTTCTGCTTATGCAATTTTGATTCTCAGACCAAAGAAACAATAAAAGTAAAAAGCCCCATAATTTTGATGTTTAATATACTTTAAGAAATCTGAATTTCTTTTAACCATTACCATTTCTCTATGTGTGGACTATAATTTAATGTTGGAAGTTATTAGATTATGTGCCAACTTGTTCTTATATCTCCACTGTTTATTTCAACTAATTAATTCTACAAAAGCAAGTCAGGAACTTTACACTAGTGGCCCAGTTTACAAAATTCATGCACACTAAAGGAATTAATTAGAGGAAATATTTTAATATTACTATTTGCCCTTTATTACAAAAGTGTCAGAGATGAAAGAAAATTAGTAAAATGTATATGAAAATCTTCCTCCTGTCAGAGTCTGGGG